TAGGAGGTAATTACCTCCCTACATTGATAATGGAAATGAATTCTCTTCATGGTTATTATATCACATTTATGTGAATTTATAGAGGAGAATGTGAAGGTTATGTATATGTGCCTATAAATAGAGCTCCCCATTGTACAAAGGAATAAGATGAATAAGAAGAACTCTTCCCTCTCTTTTACCTTGTGTCTTTTCCTCTTCATACTCTCTCATAGTTGTTTATCTATTCCTTTAGTTTCTTAACACGTTATCAGCACCAAGCTTTGCCAAAGTCATGAGGAAGGCTACAATACCTCTCGGGTCGTGCTCTTAGAGTTAGAAGTATCGTCAGGCCATAGTTTGTTTTTCAGATTCAGCATTAAGATCCAGACGGTCTACATCGTGAAATCAGGTAACTCTATCAAGTGACTTTTGCAAATTATATTAAAGAGAATGGATTAAGACACACCATTATATTTATATAATTTGGTGTTTGGATAACGACAATCAGCAAATGTATCTTTTCACCGGAAGTGAAAGATAAAATAATTACAAACGAGGATGACACAACAATTCATGTAGCAAAAGTTATGATCACATATAGTAACCTTCGTATGTCGAAATGTGTTATGAAACACATATATGTTATTATTATTATTATTATTATTATTTTGTACGCTTTTGTATAAAATGAATATTTGCAAAAGTCGGTACTGGTATTCTATCATATAGTATGAAAATAAGCAAAAGCTCCGGAAGAGATTGTGTTTTGTTACTTGAAGTAACTAAACAATATATTGGTGATACCATAGTATGAAAATATTCTTATCACTATGTATATGCGCTTACAATAGTTCACCAAATTAGAAGGTGCCTCATGGCCAAAATGTAGTACAAGAGTATGTGAAGGCTCCAGAAGTGCTAATGTTTTGAGACGTGGATGAACTAAAATATCAGTTGAAGATGCATTACCGAATTATGAAGATATTCGCAGAAACGAATATCATAATTGATATTGCATCAGAAATGTGTTCTAAGAGAATATATATTTAACTCGAGAAATTTGTACTACATTTATATTAGTACATATGAAAGTGTAAACTAGAAGTTTACAAGATCGGATAACTTTTGTTTTGGCAATGTCCGGTCATACCATCCCGGATACAGATGCGAAAATGATTGAGATATCATATGGAAATTAAGTGAAAGTTTAGAGAATTCATCAATCAAAGGATTGATTATGTGATACATGCTCTCGAGGAGAATATACTCACTTGTGAAAATAATTGAATATGTTGAGATTTTATAAAAGTGTATGCCGAAAAATACACTCACCGTGCAAATCATATATGAATTTTATGATTTTGATTGATTCATCAACTATATCGTCATATATATCTGTTATCTAACCACAACCTGATGTTTTTTAGATTAGTTGTCGAATGATGGATATATTTTGATGATTATCCAATCAAACAGAACTTCTCTTATGAGAACAAGCTAAGCCTATCGATCTCTTATCGAGGTATATGATATCATTAATTAGCATGAAGCCAACAAGTTATCATAAGTTTCCCCCTTTCATACAAATGGTTTTGGTCAGGGACCAAACATTTAAAATGCTAGAAAATTTGGGTGTGCAGAATACATCCCAATTGCTCCACCACAACAAGTTATGAGTTCCATGAGAACTTATGTTGGACATGGTGTCCATTGCAATGAGAGATTTGTTCATGACTCTTTTTGCTAATATCATCATTTTGATGAGTTACTTTTCGAACGTTGGGCATAGATGTGAGTTGCAACATCATTATCGCATTTTGATCCTCAAACGAAGAAACATGAAACCGAAGTTCATATGGTGATTCATGAAAAAAAAAACGTATCGATTGCCAAACGTCTTTTACTCACTAAAAGGGTGATTATGTCACATGCCCAATTGTGAATGCTCCAATACAAATTGATGTCCATATTGGACAATCTAAAGAATCTATACGAGTGCATGAAGCGTTGTAGACCAATCGGTTCCAAGGATAAAAAAAATTCTCAATAAAGGAAGGAGCTATAAATTAAGATGGTCAAGTCGATGATTTAGTAGCTCCAGAAGAGTCAAGTCATATAATTGAGATCAAAGTTCCAGAAGAACAGTAGGTACCTGAAAGTTTTAAAATGAAGAGATCTCAATTAATTTGCTTGTATGAAAATGCTGGAACCGAAGTGAATTTATTGTCGACAAAGGTTTTGTTATGCTGCAGCGCTGAACGTGATAGATACAAAGAGGATCAAAAGTCCTTACACCCGAAGATGTAAAACTAACTATTGATGCATACAAAGGAATATTTATTGGCCAATATAAGAGAAAGCATTAGACTTATTTGGTATAAGTTTTGGACCAGAAGTCCTTACACCCGAAGATGTAAAACTAACGGGATACAAATGGATTTTGTGCAAACGCGTATGAAAATTGTGAGATATAACACAATTTCTCATAAGAGGTTTCTCGTAGAAACCTAACATTAATTATGAGAGGAAATACTCTCTTGTGGTGGATGCAACTATGTTGTGCAATTTAAATAGTTTGGCAGTTCAAAAAGTATGAAATTTGCATTTGGGAGATATTGTGATAGCCTATTTGTATGGATCCCTTAATAATGATATTTATAAGAAAATTCCTGAAGGATTAGTTTGCCGGAAGCAAACAGGTGACGTTCTCGAGAACAATATCAATCGATAAAACAATCCCTTGTATGGATTGAGATAAAATGGATGAATATGGTATCTTCATCTAAGTGAATGTCTACTAAAGGAAGTGGTCGAATAAGTCTTGCCTCATTAAATTCAAATAAAGTGCATTAGAGCATTTGCATTCGGTATGTGTGATTGTGTAATGACATATAATTATGTGCGTGATATTGTGGTTTTAGTTATGAGTTTGATTTATGAATGTGGTTTGGTTAAGTGATGTTGTGTTTATGACGTGCCTTTTGCTTGTGACCTTGTGTTATGAAGTAATTGTTTGCATACAATTGTGTTAGCTAAGTTTTATAGTTATTTTGATGAAAAGAGTCGAGACATTATTTTATAATGATCTCATATGTTTTAGTTGATATGAACTACAGAAGAGCTTCATAAAGCATGGTTTGCTTAAAGAAAGAAAATTCAACTCTAGAAGAGTTTCATATAGCATGGGTTGCTTAAAGAAGAAAATTGAACATGAAGGATTTAAGAAGATCCTTTTTGGATCAAGACGACAATGTCGGAAAAGTGAAAGAACAATTTTGTATGAAAAAAATTCCATATGTTCCATAGCCTAATGATCATAAGGTCACTAGAAGTGAACAAAGATCAATTTAGGCGTTGAAATAAAAGTGAATTATTAGGTCCTGAAGTATCGTATGTTAATGTCGAAAATGTATCTCGCTATACTTCATTGAGTTATACTTTGTTAATATAGGTAACGATGAGGATCATAGATGAGTAATTTGTTTACTTATGGTCGTACAAGTATCTCATGGAGAGTCCAAAGAAATCACAATAGCAACATCATCTGATCATGCACAATGGCCAACAATTCATGAGACTTGTGATGAATTGTTTGGTTAAGATTTGTGATCCAACACGTCTAAATGACTTGTGGTTGTGGATTTATCTTCATAGAAAATGATCTTGAAGATCATGCATGAAGAAAATGGTCCTAATGGATCATGTCTAAAGTGACAAACTAGGATTATGATGATTATGTACTCTTTTTCCTTCACTAGGATTTATCCCATAGGATTTTTCCTAGTAAGGTTTTAATGAGACATATTCTCAATAGATAGATATCCAAGGGGGAGTGTCCATTGGATGCTACTTTGGATTCCATATGAGATGTTACATTAGGAGGTAATTACCTCCCTACATTGATCATGAAAATGAATTCTCTTCATGGTTATTATATCACATTTATGCAAGGTTGTCAACCCGCGGGTCGACCCACGGGTTGACCCATTTTGACCCTGACCCGATGAGAAAAACGGGTCGCACGCACCCGCCGGGTCGACCGCCACAAGGTACCGGGTTGGAGGTCAAATTGTGTCATTTTTTTCTTTGGTTTGCGAAATGCGCCTATTTTCCGATTTTTCTTTTCGCCTAACTCAATCTTTGGAATTCTAAGTTGAACATTTGAATATTATGTTGTATAAGTGTGTGTGGATTTTCACTATATGTTGAATCTAAGTACGAAATGTTATTTTGGTGTAATATTATATGTTATAACTCATATGTTAGATGAGATTTGATATAATTTATCAGGATAAGTACAATATAATGACGCTTTCCATATTTCCGGGCTAAACCGGACTAAAACGTGTGACCCATTAACCCTTGACCCACTAGCTCAACCGGGTCCGGGTCAACCCGCGGGTTGACAACCTTGCATTTATGTGAATTTACATTGATCATGAAAATGAATTCTCTTCATGGTTATTATATCACATTTATGTGAATTGATAGAGGAGAATGTGAAAGTTATGTATGTGTTTATAAATAGAGTTCCTAATTGTACAAAGGAATCCTCATTGTACAAATGAATAAGATGAACTATTCCCTCTCTTTTACCTTGTGTCTTTTCCTCTTCATTCTCTATTTTATCTATTCCTTTAATTTCTTAACCGTCTATTATTATATCACAAGACACTGCGCGCAAAGGAAAAACAATCAAGAGGAAGAAAAGAAAAAAAACCTCAACAACTTTCATTTTCATGATTTTCCCGTATACTAATTGTACACTGTTACACCAGATTGCCTAACGCCTCATCCTCCCAAATGAGTCATTTAGCCAATCAAACCTAATGCTTCTTTCTTCATTCTTCTATTTGCATAAAACACAACAACCAAGCCGTCTTGCCACTTACCAGACTGGCTTAAGTGTCTTTTTCCCAAATCTGATACTGTAATTTGTAATAGATGATCAAGCCACGAAATTCACAGGGGCTGGCTGACTGGTGGCGAAGGGGTAAAATAAATTTCTGATATCTCATTTCTCATATATACGCAAGCGAGTTCCTGTCAAGATCAGGTTGTGGGCGACCACGCGTCGGGGTTGGCGGTCTCTGTATGTTAAGTTCCTGAAACCACGACATAAAACATAGAAACGAAGGGGTTTTGTAAGCCTCCCGATCAAAATATAAGCTTGAAAAGGCATTTTTGTTGGAGATCAAATGCAAGCCGATCTTACTTGCATCCATGTCTCATCAGTAATGCGCTCCGGAGATGTTTCAGGGGATTGAAGAGGTGGCGGCAATGGGTGGATTAACTTTGGCACAACAACCAATCCACGTCCAACAACTAGTATGGCTCCTGCATTGTTTGCAGTTCCTGAAATTTATGTCAGAAACGTTAGCCACTGCCAGCGTAGTGAGGACTAAAACACAATATTAATGGGTTAGTGTTTACCGCAATAGTTTGTAGCTGAAAAAAGGGTAATCAACTGTCCTTGAGCAAACCGTTCAAAACCATCCATAACACACTCGTGTGCTCTTATGATCAGCTGTAACTTGTTCTTCTTGCAAAAATCTGATACACGGTCTGGCTGCAACAAGATTGCGGGGAGGAAAATGCATTAGTTCTACTATCATGCACCATGCAACTTTGCAGAACCTTACAACACTAACAATAGATACAAACAGAAAAAGGAAACAAATGGCTCATCCATCAAGGAAGCATACATAGCTTCAGGCTTGGCATTAACAGCACGATTGTATCGAGCAAGACTCTGCGCATCTTGCTTAACCCCAAAAGGAAGAAGAAACAGATAATGCACATAAATCAAAGTGAACATACCCCAAAGGTGACCAGACCAGGGCCTCTGGCATTAGGCCTCAAGCCTTCGATGCTATCATTCTCAGTAGGATCAGACCTGCACAACATAATCAGGAGTTTGAGCACACTTCTAAGAGAAGGGGAAAACCCCCCATAAGTCATTGGGAGAATGCAATACCATAGAAGATCCATCAGTATTATGGAACCCGCATCCATGGTTATGGGCCTCTCAAGTTTCTCTATCTGTTCCACCGAACTAATAGATCTACCAATTCCCCCATGCATACAAATAATTTTCTTCTCGATAAGCGCAGCAAGCGGAAGATAGTTGAAAAGTTGATTGAACCGTGTCCATGCCCATATCCCATCACTCTCTCCCTGGAAGTAACACTAGTTAGCTGTATTCTCCATTCAGGTGCATACCCAATGTTGCAATTTAAATGTATGTTACAGACCATTCTCTCGATGCATTCAATGCGAAAACCAAAGAGTGCATTGATGTCGGCAGCTTCATGGTTTCCTCGTATTAGGTGAACATTTTCAGGATACTCAATCTACAAAAAGCATAGTAAAAGAAGGTGGTCGATGAACCTATTAGTGGATTATAATCGTCAACGTCTGTTCCAAAAGCAAGGGACTTGCCTTAAGAGCAAGCAGCAAAGTTATAGTCTCCAAACTGTGCTGTCCGCGGTCAACATAGTCCCCGAGAAATAAGTAGTCAATATACCTGAAAGAGCATGATGACATATCCACAATTGAGACACCAAGATTCGAAACAAAGGTGAAATTAACATTAGACCATCAAGGGGTTATAAATTTGCTAATAGTTTCAAGTTAAAAACTTCATTACCAATCTGACTATCTAGCGTTCTAATTCATTTGACGGTTATAGCTTTTTATCCTTCTGCATTGGTAAGTTAATTGTTTAACCTGGTGAATAAAAAGGGTCTGACACATTTTGGCCCCCACAAAAATAACCAAGGATTGCTGTACCACACTTACGTAATGTCCCCAGCTGTGGAAGGAAAACCATATTCATCAAAGAGACGCATCAAATCACCAAATTGTCCGTGGAGGTCACCAAACACCTTCACTGGAGCTTTCAACTGAAGAACTGTGGGTTCGTGCATAAATATCTGCTCAGCAGCATAACAAAGTTCACCGATTTCATAGGAATCCATAAAAAACCGCCTATTTGTCGGAGCTTTCCAGTTCCGAGGCCTAAGCAATGTAGATATAACCTGCAAAGACCACCACAAAATTAAGATCCATCCTCAACCAGAGCCAAATCCATAATAAATTATATGTCCTTGCCTTTTTGTGCAAACCCTGAGGAGACCTCTGCCTCATGAACCTTTTGGCAGGATTTGGTGTATCACTAGTAGTTGGAACCATCCTTCTGCTTTCATTTTCAAATTGATCCAATGATAACTGCCTCACCATGCCACCCAAGTTGCCTACAGCCTCTTTAGCAACTACAACCTGCAATAAGTATAGCATGATTTTGGAGGCTTTGTAATTAAGGAATTAATTTAGTTTGTATCACAACGAGGATAAAACATACAGCTCTAGGATGAAGGCGAACATCAGCCTCCACATCACTACCATCCGAAGTTGCCTCGGCTGCCTGTGAATTGTCATCAAACAATGAAGTTTCCTCAGCTGAATTAACAGCTGCCTGAGCAGCTTGCCATACAGCACTAGCCGCTTGGGCTTCAGCTGCTGAGGCCTCCCTCAGTTTCTCCATTGAGTTTTTATCCAGGCTGAAAAAGACGAATAAAAGTGAATGTCATTCCATAGAAATTAACTAATCTTCCTGCCATATGCACAAGCAAGTAGACAATCCAAACCTGACACTGCCAAAAGAAGGGCTCTCTGCTTCATCGTCATGAGAACCAAGGCTAGTGCGATTTACTTTGGGGCTCGTTACAGGGGAAGCCTTCTCAGAGGTTAATATAGGAGAAGTGCCATCAGGCTGAAGGGAAGAATTTTCTGCGACCAAGAAGTCGCCCAGAAGCAGATCTGCAACAAAGAATAACCTGGTCTACTTAGTTGCATCCTTGCTTCCAATGTTGCAAGGGGATTAACAATTTGAAGGGGAAAACCTCATCACAAATTCCAAAGTAATCGTACATCCAACCAACAAAGCAGATAAGAAAAGAAGAAATGAAATCCTAAAAATGTGAAAGAGCCAACTGTTATTCTTGAAGGAAACTAAATCATGGGCATCCATGAAAGGAAATTTGACTATTATTGATTAGAATGTAGTGAGATTAATATTCGGGGGCAAATTCAGATACCCAACCATCTGTAATATTAGTATGAAGACAGGCTCTGAATTAAAACCACATGAAACTGACTGACGAACAGTTGAGAGTGAAATATAGGCCAGTCACTTGTAAGCAGGTTGCCATAAAAAGAACTATTCAATGCTTATCCAAATTAGGTAAAAAAGTAGATTCATAATCTGTCACTGGTGTGTCTGGTGACAAGAAAAACAGAAAGCCCCAAGATACCCTAAAGCTTAACAAAAGCAGCACAGCGATCATATATATGAAGGATCCACAAAGATTGAGTTTCCATACAAAAAGATGTGTGCTAGTGCTATAATATGATCATAAAACATCACTCAGAATTCTAAACTTCAATCTCAGGGAAAGCACAACGATATTAGTAGCATAACTAGTTTAATACTTAATAGGTTGTCCAAAATAAGTTTAATACTTATGAGGAGGTTCATAGCTAGTAACCACTGAAACCCAGCCACTCACTAATATAACCACAAATAGGTAAGTCATACACTATAGTTAAAGCAAGCATAATGGTGATATTGACCCATCTTAACTCTTTCGTGCTTCTATTGGATTTTCAGTTCCTCATTTTCTGGTTACTTAAAGTTGTTTGTTTCTCTTCTCCTTTGTATATTCTATACTATTCTTATTTTGGAAAAAACTCGATGTGAGATGAGTACCAAAAGTCACCTGGCATAACTAAGCTAATATCTGCAAACTTTACCTCCTTTCAGACCACCATAAATGTATAAACGAACACCCACAGAAGCAGCTGCATGACGGCAACGCCGCATTAGCTCCAAAGAAGGATCATATTCAGCCAGTCCCCTGCCACTTTTTGATGAAGTTACGAGCCCGTTCCTATCCAGCCAAACACCAGCAGCAGTGTCCAGGACTAACCAAACAGAAATGGCATAAGATAACTTTTATGACTTTCAAGTGTCAGTTCATACATCTGGTAATTAAAGGATGAAGGCAGATTGAAACTTTATCCCTCCCGGAATCCTGTCTGTTCTATGTTGTGCAAGCTCGTGACTGTGACAATATCTCAGATAACACAAAAGAAATATACCTGCAATAGCTGCTTCCCCTTCCACAGCACGTCCTCCTCTTAAAACACCTCCTGTTACATGCAAGCGAGCGCCAACAAAAACCTGACAGAAAATAGTGACAGAGGTCATCTAAAGATCCTGATACATTCCCTTCAAAACTAACACATTGAAATATCCCACTGACTACTGAATTTCATTATCACTTACTGCAGCATGTTGATACCTAGGTGAAGGAGACACTCCAGGAGCCAGGGTCCACTCCCACTGACCATTTCTATGCATTAGAAGTCCATATGCATCCCCAAGAGGCTGTTTAAGCAAACCAATCAGTGTATTGTAATTAAGTCAACGAGACAGCATAGTCGTTCATAATGCTGAAGCCAATACGAAAGGGATAGCTAATAGAATTCATATAAAGCAAAGTTCATATATGCATATGCTTGAATTTGAAGAAGTATACTTATAAAAATCCACAGAAAATCTGCTGGTCAAGTACTGATGGAAATACTTGGCATAACAAGTGCAGAAAGGGTAGAACAATCTTTATAAAAATGGTATAGAGAAGCCAGCCATGCTGAGGCATTCTTCATCACATATTGTTTTAAGTCTCCATGATGCAATATTGTTTTAGCGTGAAAGATGCGATTTTTAATGAAAACATTGATTTTGGCACCCAGTTCCCTCTCCACACTAGAAAAGGAGCAGAAAAGGAAATGAACATTCCTACCATAATGATTAAAGCTTGAGCATAAGACTCCCCCATTTCAAGGCGGATCTTTTCTTAGGAGGCAATCAGACAACAAGAAAGTGAACGAGTCACCCTTAACCCATAATTCACATTTCATAGTAGCAGGTCCACTAAGCACGACGGCATTTTGTAGTATGGTATAATGAACTTAGAGATTTCAGGTTCAACAAATTAAGGAATGACTACTTTCAAGCTAAGATTAAGGTAGCTAGGAGAATAAGCAGACAGAATCAGCATACAAATGTCCAGTAAGCACCACAGTTTGATTCCAACAGTTTAACAGAAGTAACAAAGTAAGCCCCTGCTTTCTAGAATGAATAATCATACCACGCCAGAGCTGTCTCGGCCGCCACAAAGCAAAAACATGCCATCTGAACGAGCACTGGCTGTTGCATACCTACTCAGTAAACGCATGTCAAATTATGAGCAGTTGATAACAACGAGAACGTAAAATGAACAAATCTCCATGGCTTATACTTGACGTCTTAAACAGGCTTACATTCTAGCAGAAGGTCTATCACCTTCAGGATTCAGCCTCTGCCACGCATATGGTTTCTGAGCAGTATCCAAAGTCCAAGCATCAGATAGAACTCTTTTGCCTGCAAGTTATATTAAAACTCATCACCGTGATATACTAAGTACTCATCATCATAATAGTCGAATGTTGGACTTTGATCTTTGGAGACCCAAAATATACATAGTTCAAGTATGTGTTAATACAAAACGAAGTAGCGCGTAATTCACTTGGCTCTAGCAGGCACTGCCATTGAATAAAAAGGGAAACCAGAGGTCTAATATGTGACCTTTTCATGTACTATTCCATAATAGTCTGACTGAGATCATACCATGCTTTGACAGAAAACAGTACTCGTTGACCGCTTTGGAAAAGACAAAAGTAACTAATACACTCTAGCCCTTCTCATATTAGTCTACTTGACATGCCTTCTTATTCAAGAAAAGAAACTGCATATCCATTTTCACGCTGACAAATACTCTTAGCAACTAATCAGTTTCCATATTAATATAGAAGATAACAACAAGCTCATGATCCAATAAAAGCAATAAATTCATACTTGGAAGTCTCTTCTAACAAGGACTAGCAGACTAGAAGATCAAACTGCATAACCTAAACAGACGATGTCCCCAGAAACAGAGTTATCAGTTCAAACTGTTAATGAAGTTAACAAGGGAATTCAAAATAGAATGTTAAGTTCTTGCGCAGTAAACTTTGCCTACACCAGCAAACAAATAGTGTATTCTTTCAACTAAAATGAAGAAACACAGATATATCAGAAATTGTAATAAAAAAATTTGTCCTACCATCATTGCCACTGACGGTAACTAGGTATCTTTGACCAACCAAATCCATTACATGGCCATATCGAGGTCCCGGACCCTGCCCTTGTACAACAACTCTACAATTTTGTGAATGCCCAAATCAGTCCATGACTCTGGAAAGCCTGCAGATAAAACAATAATCTTGCACAGAAGAAAGAATGACTTACCGATGCCATTTATACTTGTCATTGGTCAAGTCAAGTACATAGAGATCATCAGTGGAATGCCCAGCAGGACCAATGCCACCCTAAGGAAGACAACAATTGGGGGAGATGAATAGCAATATATCGAATAGCTTGGCAGCCAGCAAGCAAATGCAGTTGTGGTTGCAAAAACCATGCAAATCAATCACCTGAAAGACAACCATAGTACCAACAGCCGCAGCAGCGTGTGCGGCTCTGGGAGAAGGTGGATCCCCAGCTGGTCGTAGTCTGATTAGTTAATGATAAAACAAATAGGTTAGAATTGGATCGAATTCAAAGAAATCAAGAACTAACAAGATCAGAGGGATACCTAATCCATTTTCTAGTGAGAACGTCGTATGAGTGAATTGAATTGGTTACTCCAGCCAATCCTGCAAAGCGAAGCAAAGCTCAGGAAGCAGCAAGAGGAGAGGACAGGAGAGGAGGAAATGTAGGGAGGGTAACTGATGCCAGGTGCGGAGGAGGAGGCGCCGCCTTCAATGGCGGTAGCACCCCCGAATAGGATGAGGCGAGGGCCATGAGTCTTGGTAGCTGCGACGGCGGTCAAGGTATGGCCACATCGGGGACCAGGGGCGTCGTCGTCGGTGTCCCAGTAGGTTTCCAGGGAACGATAGGCAGGAGCCGGGTATAACCACGGCTTGGAACCCATTGTTGCAGGCGAAGCCAGCAAGGGGGATGTGGTGCGGGGAAGAAAGGAAAACGAAGATCAGTCAGACAGCTGATTGGGAGTGGGTCAAATGTTGGAAGCTTTAGCTAAGCTTTGAAGTCGACGGCGGGTGGACTTGTTGTTGCGGAACAGGCTGCCAGGGCGGCGGCAGTCGTATTTGGTGGGGCCCGGGAGATATGGCTCCGGTCCGGACCATTTTCTTTCTCTCTCTCGTGCAAAAACATTTATTAATGTATTTCAAAAAAAGTATTTATTTTTTAAGTGGCGATGAGGCGGTATCTCAATATACATATCTGTCAGACCTTCTTGTATTAAGTGTGGAGAAAGTCGTTATTTAATTCTTTTACAAGAACACAGAAAAAATATTTCATAAATGAATGAGAAATGCAGTGGGAGGAATAATTGACTCTGAATAGATGAAAGATGAGTCTTAGATTTTCTTTGAGATGAAAATATAATTTTAGAAATGTCAAAAATAAAAGAAATAGATGTGGATATTGATGCAAATTATAATAGAACATGAAAAGTTTAAAGCAATGCACGACACGTGCCATGCCCCCACGCATCTGCAGGCCAGATAATACCCGCCCCAAACAAGTCAGGGCAAGTGACTCGAACTAATTACACATTCTCAATTAAAGGCCAATCATAACCAACAACTATGTTTAGCATATGGTAAGCAAAGTAATAATACTATCGGACCACGAGTCTCTAGATGTACAGTTACTTCGACTTAAGTATGTTATCTAGCGAATAATGATTAATAAACTAAAATAACTACACTAACCTAACCTCTACTCTAGCTAATTACAAGAGTTGGATCTCACTTAGACATGAATCCCCCTAGCTCCTCAAGTTGACTGATGTTGAGTACCACACTAGATTGATTGACTCGATACCTCTACCATAGAGATTTCTCGACTGCTCCCATATTCTAGTGCATCCAACCCTGCTAAAAAAAGAGGCGTATCGTACAACGTGGGAAATTGAGACAACCGAATCCTACTCCCGCGATTGGGTAAAACCCAATAGGACACTATGGATCCTAACACACTCGTTCAAAGACCCGTAGTGATGAATTGGTAGTATTTTATTCAACCTAGGGGATATTCTCCCTCCTAAGTAAAAAATCCCCAACATTTGCATGATAAGTACTCGATTCAAAAAAAAATAAAGACACACAATCATAGGTTTTGTCTCATACATCAACAATCAAACCAAAATCTAGACCTAAGGTCCATCAACCTAAGTGAATGTGTGTTAACACATAGAGAGGAGAGAGATTACAATACAAAGCTTGAGATCTGCATTCTTCATCTTTTAGGCTTGATTTCCTTGCTCTGAGCTCAATCCAAGCCTCCAATTTAGTCCCAAGATCACTCTAGATCACTTTCTCCCTCTAGAAATCACCCCTTTGGTGTTTAGGAAGAAAACCTCACTCAAAACCAAGGTCCGCTTCTTCTTCCTGCAATTGCCTACTTATATTCTACAATAGTGCACGTTTCATTGCCTATTTTTACGCTTGTGACATTGGCAAGCAAGCCGTGATCTCATCTAAAAATGTACCGTTTTGTGCCTACTTTATGGTTTATCTGCAACTATCACGCCCTAAGGCCATGAAGTGTGCAATGTGCGCGAAAATTGTCATTTGCTACTGGATACTTTGCAAGGTTGACGGTTTTCAGTTGATCTTCATGGTCTCAGTCGATGATCTTTTGCCTCGAACCGTGATCTGTGCACATTCTTTTCTCTTTTGCTCGTATTAACCTTTGAATGTCTCAGAACTCCCCAACCTTCTCACGCGTACTAGAACCTGAAATGTGACAAAAGAAGCAAAACCTAGCTTAAAATGAGTCGATGAACGATGATTACCAATTCAAATAATCAATATATGAAGGGGTAAAACAAGTACAAATACGCCTAAATCAGCAGGTCATGCGGTTTAGGTACACCGGCATGTTTTCCTGGTCAATACCGGCCAAAATCATTTAATATGGGAAACTTCGGAGGCCTAACCAGAATGTTAAATTCTGAAATTAAGTGTTACGTCATCGTTTTGGGTGAGATTGTTTAATAAATTTGTAGGAGTGAGGTTTAGTCATTTCGCGAGTGATGATGATCGAGCTTTAATTTATATTACGATGCTCACTCACTTCTAGCCTAACAATGCCAAGTATAACAAAGCTAGAGATGTAGTAAAGCGGTTTTGTCGTACTCCACGAGGCCTTGGATCTACTACTACTACAAAAATGGTTTACTATCTAACCTGCACAATAATTGGGTGTGTTTTAAACTAAAGGAGCAACTATCGGGAATTTTGGTTCGCGAATAATAGAGGTACTTGGGGTTAGTTCCCCCTAATCCAAGATAGACTTGTGATTGAATACGAATGAGATATTTTTTCTCTTTATGATATTGGATTCCTCATATATCGCTACTAGGGCAATGATCATGTCACCTAGAGCACTCCTAGTTGGCTTCTCGGCTCCATGGTCATGCAATGACAAATCGCTAGAGCAATAAGACTGGTGATTCGAGTTCAATTATACACATTTTACCCCTCATTTCTTGTCCGTTTTTCTTACTTGATCACCATCCCTTGACCTATTTTACGCTAGGTTGTACTTATTTTGGTACATTTCAGGTCCTAGCACGTGTTGGAAGGACTGTGACGAGTTTCGTGTCATTAGGAGGTCAAAACGAGCCAAAACCTGGAGGTTGAGCACTGTTCACGGGCTGGAGCTTCAGTTCACTGTCTTAGAGATCGTGAACTGAAGCCTTAGACTGTGAAGTGCCCAATTTCCAGCATGGTTTGCGGTTTCACTAGACTCAAGTGAGTTCACGGTCTCGAAGACCGTGAACTGATGCCCTAGACCGTTAACTCGGCCCTATCGAACAAATATAAAAACTACAGCGGCGAGAGAGAAGATGGAGCTGGTTTTTGGAAAGGAATTAGTTTATTTCTCTAGGGTTTCGACCGAAAACATCAAAAGGGGAGTTCTAGAGAGAGAGAGAGTTATTGAGTGATCTTGGAGTTTAATTGAAGCCATTGATCAAGCTTGGAAGCAAGGAATCAAGTCTAGAAGAAGAAGTTCATGGGCTCCAATTTGTAATTTCTCTCTTCTCTCTCTAGAAACTCACCCTCTTCTCTTGGGTTTAAGAACCCTAGGTCTGTATTTTGTTTCATTGTTGATGTATGTGACAAATACCATGTTTGATTGATGGTTTTACTTAATTGATGGAAGGTTTCATGAATGACATGAGTTTGGTTTCCATTTTCATGCATTAAGCTTTTGACCTAGGAGGGAGAAAATCCCCTTAGAGCCCATTCTTGGCATCTTTGGGTCACTCCTCACCAGCGGCGGATCCAGAACACAGAAGTGCACTGGGCCGCATTTTATTAGAAAATTAGAATAGTAAAAAAAATATAAAGATTATAATTTTTTTACAATGTAAATTGTACACGACGGTATTTTAATTTAGCGAATGCATTAATAATGGAGTTCACATCCATACCAATAGTATACACTGTTTCAAATAAAATACTTGAGCAATCGACTAGAAATCCATCGCTCATTTTGTTGCGCAAATCAATTTTCACATGTTTCGTTGTTGAAAAGGTTCTATTCGAATTAGCTGTTGAAACGAGCAGCATCAACACTAGACAAATCAATCTACTAATCAATTTGCATTGTGTTTCCATCCCTATATCCACCGGCTTCTCTAGTAAATTTTCCAAGGTAACAAACCTCATATATGTTTTAGTCTTTTACGTTTTAAACTTTTTGAATTTTTAGGTTTCATTGTTTTTTTAGACGAATAACCTTTGGGGTTAGAATTTATAAGCTAAATTTAGAGTAGTGATTTTGAATATGTTCATCTGAATTATTTTTCTAATTATACCAAATCTTATTTTAAAATAACAACGACGTGAGTATCTAAAATCGAAAAATTCATAAGGCCTATACTAACTATGGATCCAGAGGAGGGCTGGGCCGGGGCCCGGGGTGGTCACCCCCTGGATCCGCCACTGCTCCTCACCATATATCGTCCGAGTAATCCACGAGGGAATCGATTCCATCAATCTCCTACAATATAGGGTTGACCTAGGTTGAATAGAGCATACCTCATTCACCGATTCGTTGTTCCGGATCATTCCCGAGGGAGTCCATCTCCCAACGGTAGAGTATTTGAGTTTATTGAGCTAGGAGGATACTCAACAACGATCCAAAGGGAGGAAATAGGGGGATTTAACCTAAGAGAGCTCCCAAACCTTGTAAATAGCTAGGTTAGTATTTAGTCTAGGTTAGTTAGTTTAGTTTTCCTAATCTCTATCCTAGGTTGGCTAGATAATGAACTAGGGGTGGACATTCGGTCGGTTCGGTTTTGGAAGAACGGAAATGATGCATACCGGGTCCCCGAATTCTACCAAACCTCAAACTGAATTCCAACCGAATTATAATTCTGTTTGGTTCGGACTTTCACACAAACCGAATTTGTGAGGCTATTTGTATCTTCTCCCTTTTAAATGATTTTTTTACCCCTAATGTAAACAATAAGGACTTTGCTACGGTGACATGAACTTTTAGGTCAACCTTATACAGGATTAGGTCGACCTAATCTGCACTTTTAGGTCGACCTAATATTGGATTAGGTCGACATAATGTGCCGTTTCAGTTTTGTGAGGTTCAACGACGCCGTTGACCTTTTATAGCAAATGGTCGACCTCTTTGGGAAGCGATGTGGGTGATTCTTTTGCTCGTACAAATTACGTTTCAAACCAATATAATCAATCATAAATAATGAAAACAAGGTGATACGAGCACGAATCCTGTACCCGTAGTTATCAAAGTAACGCAGCAAAGAACAGGGATAAAAATGATAGGGATATGATGGAATTGAAAGTGCAATCTCAACACGATATCGGGAGAAGGCTCAATCAATATAGAAGGGTAGAATCTTGACCACAATCAAGGGAAAACTTGATTGATACAGAGAAAAGATCAAGCCTCAGACTCAAAACCAAGGTAAAAATCAATATTCTGCTAAAACTAACCCTAAAACCCGAGTCTCAGCCTTTACATAGGTCTCAAAAATTAAAAAATAACAAAAACAAGAAAACCCGAAATTTGGAGTAAAACCAGTCCTGATCTCACGCCCCGAACTCATGGCCGTGAGATGAGGCCGTGAGATTAATTGTCTTCTGAACAGATTCCTGGTAAGTGGTAACAGCCCCAAAATACCGGTCGGGTATTTTCCATGCTTGGTCGGGTATTTGCTTCTGAACGGGATAAAATCAGTCCCTCCCCGTTGAAGAAGCTTTTCCCTCAAAGCTTTCCATCCCGGCTTCCAAACGAAATTCTCTAAAGTTCTCCAGCAATGTCCACCGTCTTCTTATCTCTTCTTCTGTACTTCCAGTGATAGAAAAGACAATCATCCACACAGAAAAATAAACGTTACGCTCATGCTCCTCTCGAGAAGTGTCTCGAACCCAATCTGCATACTCGGCAATCCTCGTTTCTTGCTTTGGAGTCACGGAGCTCAATGCTTGTGGGATTCTGCAAGGAAAATCAACATAAAAAGGATCACGATAAACCATCGGCTTCTTTTCCACCGCGACCAGCTCGTAGGAATCTACATCTTCCTTCTGCAGTTTTGGGCAGTTGATCGACGATTTCTCTGCTTCCAGATTCGCTTACTCCTCTTCATAACTCAAACTCTGTTCAACCATGGTTTGAAGCATAGCTCCCACCTGAGCCATTTGTGCTAATAGCTCTCTCATAGTCTTCAATATTTTGCTCCATGGTTTGAACCACAAATACACAAACCAAAATCCAAGATTTTTTTTTCAACCCACGTTCAGCTTTGTGGCTGATGAACAAATTTTTTTTCCCGATGAACAGTACCGCAAATCTCAACATTTTTTTTAACAGTGAAACGAAAGACAATACCACTCTTGCCGCTGTGTTGAACCGGAGCTCTAATACCACCTGATACGAGCACGGATCCTGTACCCGTGGTTATCAAAGTAACGCAGCAAAGAACAGGGATAAAATGATAGGGATATGATGGAATTGAAAGTGCAATCTCAACACGATATCGGGAGAAGGCTCAATCAATATAGAAGGGTAGAATCTCGACCACAATCAAGGGGAAAACTTGATTGATACAGAGAAAGCCTCGGGCTCAAAACCAAGGTAAAAATCAATATTCTGCTAAAAACTAACCCTAAAACCTGAGTCTCAACCTTTATATAGGTCTGGAAAATTAAAAAATAAAAAAAACAAGGAAACCCAAAATTTGGAGTAAAACCAGATCTCACGCCCAGATCTCACGGCCGTGAGATTAACTGTCTTCTGAACAAATTCCTGGTAACAGCCCCAAAATACCCGGTCGCCCTACTAAAATACCCGCTCGGGTATTTTCCATACTTGGCCGGGTATTTGCTTCTGAACGGGATCACATCACAAGGACTCATAACTTCATAACATAACAACTAAACAAACTAACAAGAAATACAATAAAACAAAAATCATAATTGTTCACACATAACTAAAATCTAAAACCACATAATATCAATCCACAATCGTTTTTAACACTTAACAATAAAAACACACAATCTAAAATCGTCGAGTTCCTACTCCTGTCCCCTCTCTCCCTCATCCACATTTTCTTCATTGGTGTTGCTAGCATTATGGTAGTCGGAAGTTACGGTGACATGCATGTATCTTCCACTGAAAGATCGAAACTCATCTCGCATCTCATTCACGGTCACCTGCAGTGTGCTCATCTGGGTGGTCATTTGCCTCATGTAGTCGTACATGCCAGTTATCTGGGTGGAAATCTGGCCCATGTAATCATTCATGCCATCCATGCGCTTCCCAAGAGGTTGACCATTTGCTATAAAAGGTCAATCGCGTCGTTGAACCTCACAAAACTGAAACGACATATTAGGTCGACCTAATCCTATGTAAGGTCAACCTAAAAGTGCATATTAGGTCGACCTAATCTTATATAAGGTCGACCTAAAAGTGCAGATTAGGTCAACCTAGTCCTATATAAGGTCGACCTAAAAGTGCATATTAGGTCGACCTAATCCTATATAAGGTCGACCTAAAAGTGCAAATTACGATGATGTGCATGTCACCATAGGCATACTCAAACAATAAATATGCATCATCAATGATAAAATCAAACATTTCAACACATGAGTCATAAAATCCTAACATGATTCAAATATGTAAGTCTCAAAATAAGTACAAACATATAAAAAATTCACCATTTAGAGCTTACAATTATAGTTATTCGGTTTTTCGGTCGAAAATTTGAAATTTTGGTTTGGTTGAAAGAACCCTGGTTTCCGAAATATCCATATTTCCCTTCTGAATTTCGAACTTAATAGCATTATTTTGGTTGTGATTCAGTTCGGTTTGGGTTTACCGAACTGGTTGCCCACCCCTATAATGAACCCTAAACCCGATAAATTATTATTGCTTGCTTGCTCTATGCTACACCCGGTCACCGATTATTCTTGGCCGGCGATTGGGATGTTGTAGTTAGAACGAGTCAAGTTTTTCGTGCCGTTGCCAGGGAACGCATTCTATGTTATTTAAAAAAGGGTTAGGTCGTTACTTTAGTCGTTTTGTTTTCATTTTGTGTTTGTTGACCCACTATTCGCATTGAAGGTGGTTTGTGTTTGTTTGATTTTGTTTTTGTAGTTTGAATCATTGATCCCAATGGCTTCTACAACATGTGAGGGTATCGACAACAACCCGAATGGGGTTACCCCGGTACCCCAGAGCTTCATGGAGTAGTCAAGGAGGTGGAAGCCAAGGAACCAGGTTCTATGATCAACCTCCCTTCCAAGAAGAACAACCATACCAATGGGGATATCAAGAATATTTCCCTCCACAAACCGTGGAGAAATCTAAGTTGGAGTTGGCAATGTAGGCCTTCATGGGGCATTCATCAAGACAATGTGCCACTCCGCAACCGGAGCCAAAGATCCAAATGGAGCTCATAGTGGAGCGGTTTGTTCGAGGCACCGATGAAGGGTGCTTGAACTTGGATCTCGCACAACCCAAACAGAAGTCCACATTGGAGCTTGCCATGTAGAATTTCAAAAGAGCATGCTGCAACACGAATTTCCAACCCCTCCCCCTTCCGGTTTGACATTAGAAGAGAAGGTGGCACGTGCTTGTGCAAGCTATCGCCACTCATCATTGGAGAAGAACGAGGAGGTTGAACGGGCGATCATTGACAACCGTGTGGAGCAAGAGGAACTCACCCCGGAGAGCTCTCGTGGTGAGGATGGCCAAGAAGGTTGCATTGACGACTCTCGTCACTTTTCCATTTCCAATGGAAACTTTGAAGACCAAGTCACGAGTGTGGATGAGCAAGAGAATCCATTCTACGATCTTGCATGACATCTTTCCCTCTAAACCGTGCTTGAAGACGTGAATGGAAATGAGAAAAAAGAGGTTGAAGAGGGGGAAGTCAACATTGAAGAGGAGGAAGATCTTGATTGTTCCCAAGAGGAATACATTGAGGAAGAAGGAAGGGAGGTTGAGATTGAAGTATAAGGTGCAAGTGAGGTGAATGAAGCATCCACAAGTTATAAGTGCTATCAAATCTTTCTACCCGACCTCGATGCGTTACTTGAGCATGATCCATTTGCGGCTCTTTGCCAAGCCAAGCCCAAACCATCGGCGATCCCTCTTTGTGGATGCGATGGAAATCAAGCAATGATGCATTATATGGTATGGGGAAAGGAGGAGTAGGAAGAACCGAAGAAGGAAAGAAGGAGAGGTCTCGCGGGTGGAGCCTCATGATAACTCAAGTTCACGAGCCCTCAATTATGGTTTCGTCCAAAGCTCGTGACTTGAGACACCACCTCACCGACGAGAACCTCAACTTCAAGGAGGTTCTTGGATGGACCGAAACTTGAAGAGCAATCGTCCCGTCCATGACGTTAAAGAAGCGCTTGATGGGAGGAAACCCATTCCAACGACTTGCATATCTTTTCCTTTTAATAATAAGACCATTGGAGAGATTTTGGTGGTATTTTGTCGTGGCCTTGCTCTTCTGGATCTCACCCGCCCTTCGCTCCAATCACCAACATTCACAACTTGACCGATAACATCGTTCTACCTTCTTATTTACGCCATTGAGGGCAATGTCGAGCTTTAGTGTGTGTGTGTGGGGGGGGGGGGGGTAGATTATGCTTGTGTGTGAATGATTGGTGTGATTTTGAATGCTTGGATCCTAGTTGTATGCCCAAATTTTAAAATTTGAGGGCTCCAAGTATATCAACTTCTACATTTGCATGATCACAGTGGCACCTTTGGTGATTTGTTTTGAATCTCGTGGGTATTAGCATCGGTCTATGGATGATTTGCTTGTGATTGTGTGCATCCTATGATGACGACTGAGACTTGTATTAGGTTTGTGCATAGGTTCAGTTCTCATGTGTTTGTGAATCTATAGATGAATTGAATCGATTACTCGCTTTTCACAGTTGCCTATGCATCGAGTTTACGGAGTTAGAACGAATGATTGAACACCTAAGTAGCCATGTGAGACTTGTATCATATGTTTCATTCTTGTGCGATAATTCCCCCTTTACATGATGTGTAGCGTTCACGTTGTTGCTTGCGAGGAAGATGGAGGCATAGGATTAGTCCACTACACAAATTGTTGATTGTCCCGATCATATCATCCCCTAGTCAACCCCTTTGAGCCCTGTGACTTTGGGGATCATTCTCATGTTAGGAGCTTGTTGCTTGTGAGCTTAATGGTGATTGATATAAAGACCCCCTATCCTTTTTTCGTGTCTAAACCATTGTGAGTCATCCATGTGTCCCAGAGCTTTCGCTTTTGAGCTCCATTGAGGTTCTACATAGCTGGATTTTGCATGGTTCCTGCTAGGAATGGAAAGATAATGTTGGAGGAAGTTATTAATAGAGAGCATTGTTCGTTAAGTGTTAAGGTGTCAAGTGTTTAACTCTCTAGTACCCCACGGAAAAAAGAGAAAGAAATGGAAAGTAAAGTAAAGAAAAATAAAAGAAACAAAAAAGAGGTAGTAAAACGGGGTAAATAAAAGTAGAAAGTTGCCACAAAAGTCTAATTGTATGCTCTAGAAAGGGTTTCTTGGCACTCAAGCCACTAAAACACCTAAATTGTTTGTTGACCTCCTTCACTACTATGCTTGAACTGGTGAGTTCTCGAGGCATGTTGTGTGTTGGTTGGTGAATAATGTGAGAACTCTTATTTTGCACAACCTTAATACAGTTGAATGTTGTTTGTGGTGGTTGCGATAATATAGAAATGTAGAACAAATTTATTTACCTGAGTGAGATAAGAGAAATTCTGGCATGTGAAACGACAACCCACTGGTTCAAAATGCTCTCGATGGCGTCGCGGTGGGGATTTAGTGCGAGAACCTTCTGCACCACCTAGATTAGTGAGAGAAGCAATAGCACAAAGAGCAATAGGGAGACAAAGTTATTTGTTGTATTTTTTATTTTAAATAGATATTGGATAGAGTAGTGGACACCGGAGTAAAAGTAAGGTATCGAAAAATTTCACTTCTCCCCTCATATTTCTTCGCAAGTTAATTACGGTCATTAAATATTTGTTTCTAGTATATTAGAAGTTGAACTTTTTTCTTAAGAAAAATGGAAATTGAACTTTTTTTATGGACACTGGTGAGAATTGGAGGGACGAAGAATAGTGAAATTTAGTTGAACGTCATCGGCCCAATTAAGACCGTTTCGAACTGCACCGTGCAGACATGATCCAATCTGGACTTAAAATATATGATCTGAACCGTATAATATATGGTTTGGTTCATAATCTGTGTATAGTCTCTCGATCTGGACTGCGGATCATATATATATATATATATATATATATATATATATAATCTTCTCAATTCCCAACTGCACTGTTTCCCATCCCTAGTTTTAACTATGAGAAAAAAGGCCCATAAATGGAAGGGGAGGCAACCCCTGTACAAAGAACACACATCAACTAACTTATCAACATAACACAACTGTCTGAACTAACAAACAAACACAACATACCCAGCAGTATCCGATTGTGTTGTAAACAATGTATGTGAAGCGTATTCCATACAACCAGTGGATCAATTAGGGTGAAAAACAGAAAAACAAAGGAAAGCATGGAGTCCCTAGTTCGCACGCCAGTTACTACTGCCACGGAAGTCCAGCAAGAAGAAGTCAACTCCCTGCCTGCCCGCCCAATCGATCTTACCTGCCATACCGAGTTCACAAGAATGGTGGTATTAGCCAGACAATTAATAGAACCAACCAGCAGTACTCCAACGTATGCATTCAGAAACATGGAAGAAGTAACCGGACAATCTACACTATACTAAAAATAAAATAACAAAAGCTCAAATGCCTCGTTATGGCCTGCAAGTGTGCCTCAGATTTTGGTGAAGCAGGGGACAAAAGAACAGTGTAAATCACCAAAACATGAACAATAGCTTAGATATCCCCTAAAGGAGGTTCTGCTGCTCCAATTAACCAGTTTTGTTCCCCAAGAATGTGCGTAACATTGTGATATAAGACAACCAGAGTCGGACACAAAGTTCACCTGTACAGCTGCTCATAACCATAAGGCAGCTTGACATCAATCACATAATGACTCGTTCATAAGTGTCAACAGCTCCACTTCTTTGGCACTGGACATCTATCTGGTTGAGAAATTCAGTGTAAGAAGAAGCCAGAGATAGGTCGAGCAGATGGTTAACACTCTCATTATCTTTGTCGCAGTCTTCAGCATTTTGATCTTCTGTGCAGCTTACGTCATCAGAACTTCTTTCAACTGGATGATTGAAATGGATGATTTTACCAAATAGCTGAAACGAGCTTCTAGTGCCACAATTTGCAGAAGTGCAGCCTTGATTCCACACAATTTCAGTGCCAAAAGACTGCATGCTACTCTGTCTGTCTGGTGATAAGTTACCAGATTGTGAGCTACCAATGTTCAGCTCAGTTGACACGCTTCCCAACTTAGGCACCATAACGTTTGTGAAAGAAGTAGTAGCAGCAGCAGATATCTGAAGACAACTATTCTCACTCACAAAGTTGGATAAACCAAAGGGGGGAAAAGTATTATATTGCCTGGCTCCCTGCATGCCAGCAGGAAAATTGTTGAAATTCAACAATGGTGGACCAACAGTTGGATTAGCTAGTCCTGACATAGGAAAGCGGAGATCTCTCTCTCCATCATCTATCAGCAACTCAGACTTGTCTGGATATCTCAATTTCTTTGGTGTGGGAATCCCAGCTTGGAAAGATGAATTTGTTGGAACAAATGCGACTTGCCAAGGGCTGATTCTCTGGGCACTCTGTAGAACTTCAGGTTCATCCCACTTAATCTGTATTACAGAAGCTTGTGAGTAGGACAAAAAGACAGCAGATTGCATGCAGAAAAGAATAAACTCTTTTAACACATAAAGAGCACCGAACATAAACAACTCAAACACTTCCAGAAGCATTTCACTCGAAGAAAACAGGACTAACTAGAGCGAGCAGACCCTCATTCAGTATAGTTTCTCAATTGAATACTGGAATAAGGAAGTCGGCCTTCTCGCAATGCAGATAGATTAAGGTGTCTCACATGAAGGCATAAAAAATAAACAAAAGAAAGCCAAGGACATACAAGAACAAGTATGAATTACAGAATATTCCAGATAACTTTTATTTTGAGCACACCACTCTAGCTGCAGAGGGACCCTGGTAGGCTGGTACCAACGCATTAAACATAACCAACTCAAAGCTTACAATTCTCTACCTGATCCAATTCCCCTCCCAACATAATGTTCCAACAATAATATAAACAACTACTGTAAGACAAAAGTATTCGGACAATCACAAACATGAAGAATTGTCTGCTGCCACAAAAAATAATGAAAAAAAAAAAAGATTCATCTGTGAGAGTTTGCAAGCTCCACCTCATGGTTTCCATGGCCACAATCATAAAGCTCAACTTGGTATCACATTAAACACACGACAACAAACAAGGTACCCCACAACAGTAATTAGTTTCACATAAATGTTATAACACAGTAAATCCCCAGTCTTTCGGCATCATGACACTATGGAGCTCCCATTTTCTTTTTCTTCTAGGGATACGGTTTAGGTTTCTTTACTGCATCAGTCCTCACTGTCTTTAGGAAACAAAATGTAGTTTTAAGATTAATTTCACGTACTATCACCAGCTCCCAACACCCTTATCTTTTCCGGCAGAATGGAACACCCCACACTGGGTGCAAAAGGGATTATCAGCAGCAGACTATATGTCACCAAGACCAACATTGATCTTTATGCACGGCTTAGTTACCACCAAAAGAAGGCCAAGCCTGACACAGAATGACCATCGTCGAATCTGCATTCACAGTCTGACTGCTGATTCAACAATCAGCACCTAGGCTAGCCATCTTCTCATACTCTTCACTTGACCAGGAACGATGTTGATAAATAGAGCACTACACCAGTAAACTTACATAAATATTCTTAGGGCACCAACGGAGGACGCTAGGTAGATCAGGCTATATATTGGGACTTCAGAGTATCCGCTGGAGTAATGTTATATTCACTCAAGAAGTTACCAACTAACCATGTCAAACAATTAAAAAGAAACTGTAGACTCTTACTTCCCTTAGCAGCAGAATTTGACATGCTGACTACAAAATGCCCAAATACTAGCCTCGAGTAAGGAATTATTCAGATGACACTCAAAATGACAACAGAATCTCCACAATCAGACTACAAGAAGCTGAAAATTAGTCAAGTATCAATATACATATCCACACCTGAAGCATTCGCCAAGGAGATCCTTGCCATGGCCCGCAACCTGGAACCACAGCTGAAGCAACCGTGCCTTGAAACCATGTAGTCCTTGACAGGTCTTCTGATTCGACAGCCATCTTAACTCTGGCCCCGGCAGACCAAAACATACCGAGTGCAGCCTCGACGACATCAGCATTGACCACGAAATCGGAAAACGACCATGCTCTGGGGTAATAAACCACTTCAAACGGTAAACCCCGGGCAGCCATCTCCGTTGCAGAGGCAACGGCTTCAGGAGTCAGCATCCCTCTGGCACTGGTCATGGAGCAACCGTTCTCCTTAAGCTTGACTTTGGCCTCTCCGGTGCCAAAATGCTCCCGCCACCTGGCGAAATTGGCAGCATTGCTAAACCTCGCCGACCTGCGCACTCCGATGTACATCTCCCCTTGGGAGGTCCTCATGAATATAACAGAGTCGCCAGCGATCAACTTCTTGTTGTTGACAAACTTGCTCCATCCAGTGGTGAGCAAGTGGCGACGGGGAGTCCCACGGTAGATGTGGCGGAAGTCCCAGCGTGTCCCGTGGACGTCAGTGACGGTTAGGGTTTGTACGGGAGGGTCGGCTTCGTAGTTCAAGGGCGGGAATATGGAGTCAGCACAGAACCTCGGGACAGAGAATCCTCCGCCGTTATTAGCATCGGAAGCGGTTAGAACCTTGGCGTAGGCCATAATCCTATCTTCCTGGGAAGGTTGAAAGAGAGGCAAAGGCGCATTGAGGGGATAAGAAGACGGGTCGAGAGGGAGGAGGTGGAGCGTGGCGTAAACCTCGTCGGTGACAGGATCGGCGAGGAATTGAACAGAGGAAAGGCGGCAGAGGATCATAGGACGGGAGAGGACTAAAGAGGAGAGGAAAGAAGGAGAAGGTGAAGAAGAAGAAGACTGCTCGAGGTGACCCTGCGGAAAATAGTAGACCCTGGAATTGAGAGAGGGGAATTGAACAGAGGAACCAGCACAGGCTTGCCAGATCCGTCGATCCACCGTGCGAGAGGGAGGAAGCTCGACGGAGGACAGCGATGGCGGCATTTCTAGAATTGTCAGTCCAGTTAACTATTTAGGGTTTTGGAGGGAAAACAGGTAGGAATTGGACAGGGAGGGAGGGTTGAAGAAGATAACGAGAGAGAGGCGGTTGGTTTTGGCTGTCTCTCCCTCTCTCTCTCTCTCATTGTAGCGAGCGAGTGGTCTGAGCCCTGAGGGGAGGAGTGCCGTCTTGGAGTTGGAGGTCGGAGACTCGGAGTACCGGCACGGGAAACACTCAGGAAAATGAAATATATATTATTAATAATTCAACTTTGATCACTCGAAATATTTAAATTCATTGGTGATACTTCAATTTACTAAAACTGTTCACATTTGGTCATTCTCCGTCCAACTTCGTTAACTTTGATTGATGTGGCAGTCAATTCTCAAAGTTGACCGTTAACTAAGTGACGTGGCAATTAAAAAATAAAAAATACAAGAAAGAGAAAGAGTAAATACTGGAGAAGGAAACCAAGCGACTCACTCAACCCATTTTCACCAGAAAAGTCATATCTTCCCGTGACAGTAAGAAACTAAAGAAAGTCCCACTGGGAAAAAAAAATGGCCATGAAATCCGCCACTACTTCCTCGTTCTTCTCCTTCCTCCGATTAGTCTTCCTCTCCGCCCCCGGAACCGTCACCTGAACTGATAGAGGATGCGGTGGTGGTGGACGCATCCGCAGACCTGTCCTCGTACTGGGAGTTCATCAACGCGTCCAATGCCGATTCCAGCGACACCGAGTTGTTGCTTCACGACGAGAACAGATTCGTCTTCTTGCACGACTCGTCCGCGCCTTTATCTCTTCCTGCGCTGGTGATCTCCGCCGCCGCCGCCGCTGCTCCGAAATCGGTTGAAAAAGACGATCAAGAAGAAGGAGTGGTGGGTGGTGGCGTGATCATCGCTGCTACGGGGATCTGGGTCGGGCTGTTGTGGAGAGGCAGGTTTATGATCTGTACACCGGTCGATTGTACGTAGAGGAAGAGGTGGAGGAGGGGGAAGTAGAGGAGGAGGAGGAGTACGACGAGCTGGCGACGTGGAACTTGAGCGGGAAGCTGACGAGGAAGCAGAGGATGAGGAAAGTGGGGAAGAAGAGGGTTGCCAGAACAAGATCAGCAACGCCAAGTGCAATCTCTACAGCTACGTCAATAGAGGGTGCGCTTATGGGAAGCACAAAGCTTGAAGAAACCGTAAGTAAGTAGCAATCAGATCGGAAGGTAACAATTGGGGAAATGGGGAAGGAACCATTTTTTTTTCTCTTTATCCTTTCTTTTTCCCGATGTGAATTCTGCAAATTCGTGAATTTTAGGGTTCGTCTCCTGGTAGTTTGATTTTTAGGGATTTCAAATGTAAATTGGGGGTCAGTAGGAATGTTCAATTGGGTTGGTTGCTTCGGTTTCTGAAATGACCGGATGGAAAATTGTGGCTCTGGGAGGATGGTTTAATTTGGATGCCCGCTCCAGCGCGCGAGCGGTGGGAGTGGTTGGGAGAGATGGCGATGACGATCCATCGTCGTTGGTGAAGAGATGGTGGTGGTGGTCCTCTGTTTCCGACAGGAGTTGGTGGGTGGGACGACGGTCCGTCGTCGTTGAAGTGGTGGCGGTAGTCGTGTTGGTGGTCGGAGGCATGGGGAGGGTGCTTGTTGTTGTTCTTGCGGGAGGTGATGGCAGCGATGGTGAGGTTGAGGAAGAGGAAGAGGAAGAGAGAGGTCGGCGTGAACAGATCGGATAATCTTGTATTTTATTTTATTTATTAATTTTATGGTAAAATGAGTTGGATATTAAAATAAATTAAATTAACATTTATTTATTATTTTAATTGCCACGTCACTTAGCTAACGGTCAACTTTGAGAGTTGACTGCCACATCAGTCAAAGTTAATGGAGTTGGACGGAGACTGACCAAACGTGAACGGTTTCAGTAAACTGAAGTACCACCAATGGATTTAAATATTTAGAGTGACCAAACTTGAACGTTTTTTGTAACTCAGTGACCAACCATGCAATTAACCCATAAAATAAATAAAATAAAGGCCCAAAAAAGGCCTAAGTTTATCTCTCGTCAGTTATGTCCCAACGTTCAGAGCTCCATGTCAATAATGTTCTCCTTCGTTTTGTTGACTATTAGACTTAACGGTCAACCAAACGATAGTCAGCCCTTATTTGACTTTTATGCCACATGTCAGCCACACATCATATACATGTGGCATTTTTTTAATTATCATCTCAATTAAATCAGAATTATTTTTCTAATAATTGAAAAATCTATTATGTTATGCACCAAAAGAAGTTTTTTCGCTCGAACAGAGTTTTGTATTCTCCTCTACTTCCTCGACTCCTTAGTCTCCTCCCAACCACCATCTCTGCCATGACATAAGTCATCGTGGCCACCGCTACTCCTACCGCCAACCTCCCCACAGGCCACAGTAGAGTACCATCCTATTCACGCTTGTACACGAATTCCACACCACTTCTAGACATAGGAGGGGATGGATGAAGAAAATGGTACAAATCGCCGGCACGAGAACTCGTTTACTCTCCCATGGATTCGACTAGCTGATGATATGTTTGAGAAAATAGAAAGGGGAAGAATGAATTCTATGCGAATAACACCCCAACTACAAGAGGCGTTGAAGAAGAAAGATTGGATGCTTTCTTTGGCGCCTTCAACATCCTCAGTAAGCAAGTTCCACCTAGGTGCCTCCAATAGCTTTCCAGATCTTCAATTTTGTTTGAAACTTGAGGTCTTACCCTCCCTCGCAAACAAACGTTACAATTACAAAATGGGTTTCAAAGATCTCTTCATGACGGATTTGGAGTTTTTAAGAACCCAAACGGCGGCGTGAAAGCACTCTGCTCCCGACTCAATTTGTTGCTTGATTTGAGCAGTGAAGAAGTTTCTAGGGGGGGGGGGGGAATGATTGGGAATTTTTTCCCCTGCAGTCTAATGCCAAGAAAGCGCTCGTATCTTTTTCACCGATGCGGTCAATTGTCGGACTACCATCATGTTAGTTTGTGATAGATCGAGTACCAATGTGTAATTGTCCTGCAAGTTGTGTAGTTAGGATTTGTAGGCAAACCTATATATTGTCCTGTGTATCATCGTTGAAATGGAATAAAAACATAATACTAAAACCTGAGAGGGAGATCCTCTCCGTGGACTAGTGTCATGTCGACGATACCACGTTAAAAAACTCGGTGCTTTTCATTTATGTTTAGATTGTTTGACATGGTATCAGAGCCTGCGATCTAAGATTTCTTAATCCTATTTCGTTAGGTAATTGTTTGATTACCACTTGTTCTTGCTGCCTAGGGATTCCGCCCATCTATTCGCCAACATCGCATCAGGATTTTTGGTCCGCACAATTTGTTTTTCGCTGCCCAAGATTTCAGCTGGTTTTGTAGAGAAGGATGTTGCCGACTGGGCTACCGGGAATGCCCAGGTAGTGACCTGGCTCGTGTCCTCAGTGGATACTGCCACCGGTCTTAGCCTTTGCCGTTTCACTGATTCTAGTGATATGTGGAAGCATATCTGCTCCACTACACTCAGAATGACTCTGCTTGCCAGTTTGAGCTTGAGACTCAGATTGCCGCCTTTAAACAAGGCGATACGAATGTTCATAATTATTATCAGGCTATCTCTACTCTTTGGACTGAATATGATTTTCTTGCAGCCACTCTTATCTCGACTGCAGCGACGACTGGAATATTGAAGGAACGTTTACGTTCCCGGCTCATGTAGTTAGTCATGAAATTTCGTCCAGATTTTGAGCAGATTCGGGCGTCTCTGTTACATCGCCAAGTTGGTACTATTTATGAGGCTCTTGCTGAGCTTATCCACGAAGAGACTCGTCCGCGGATTAAATAACAAATCGGAAAGCCTCAGTTTCAGCGGGGTAATACTAGCCATCTCACATGTCATTTTGTTAGCAGGTTAGGCATATTCAGGCTCGCTGCAAGAAGAAGAATGTTTGTATCTACTGCAAAAGTTCGGGTCATACAATCCTTGAGTGCAAGTCGTTAGCCCGACGTAGTCAGGCTGGGTCTTCGTCAGGGAATGCACGATTTGGTTCTATTTCCGAGCGCAACGGTGAATCGCGTTACTCGATGGAGGCAGCTTCTCCACGTCCTGTTCTCTCTTCTGGTGGCTCGTCCACCTCTTCTCCTCTTACGAGCGAAGTGGTTCGTCGTTTGGTGGTCGAGGTTATTCAAGGGACTCTTTTCGTGGCATTGACTTCTGCATTTGTGACAGGTGGCACCTAAGACACTTCTCGTTGGTTGCTTGATTCAGCTGCCTTTAATCACATGACCAATATCTGCTCTCGTTTTACTTCCCCAAAACAGTCATCTGTCGTGTCTTTACGAGGTGCCAATGGTGCTCGTATTCTAATTCATGGTATTGGTACTTCATATACTAGTCGTGTGAAACTTGATAACATCCTATATGTTCCTCAGCTGGTTCCTAATTTGATCACAATTGAGCAGTTAACAGAAGACAATTGCGAGGTTCGGTTTGACAGTATTGGTTGTGTTGTGCAGTATCCGAAAATAGGGAGGGTGATCGGGAAGGGTAGAAAGACTAGACGTGTCTTCATCCTTGATGATGATGGTGGCGTGGGGACTGACTCGAAGCCTTCCTTGGACTCTAGGGTGGCGACATGCTTGGATGGGCTTGTTTCTTGTTCTTCTAGTATTGTGTCAGATTTGTTAGCCACTTCATTAGACTCTTTATGCAGTTCCTGTAAATACTTCATTTTTTATGTAAAGCCTAAGGGCTCTTTGGATATTTCCAAACATACTACTTTGTGGAATTTATGTCATTGTCGCCTTGGGCATTCCCACAAGGCATGGTTAGTTGATATGTTTCGGCGTAGTTTGATTCCTGACAGTTTGAGTTCGAGTTTGATCCTTCTGATGCTTGTGTTAGTTGCATAGAAGCACTTACTTTTCAATCACCCTTCTCATTGAGTGACACAGTTTATACTGCCATTTGAGCTTGTTCACATGGATTTATGGATGCCATCTCCTGTCATTTCTCGCATGGGTTTTCATTATTTTGCTCTCCTCACTGATTATACGACAAGGTATGCTTGGATTTATTTTCTTCGTCGTAAATCTGATGACTCGGTATTTGCACATGTTTTCCCCTTTGTTTCTTGATTGTTTGAGCTTGAATTATTGCATCTTTGGCCTATTTTATGCTAGGTTGTGTTCCTTTGTCCCATTTCAGGTCCTAGCACATAAAGTGAAGCATAGGCGCAAGTTTCAAGTCAATCAGAGATCAATTGACGATTCGAGAGAAGAAACTCGGGCATGACCTGAAGAAGAATGGATTTCTACCTCACTTTATGGACAAAGAAGCGTGCAAGCTTGTTATGAAACGAAAGAGGACGAGACTACGAGCGTCTGGGATCAAACGGCGACTGATTCGGAGTCCGGACGAGGGAGAAACGAAGCATTAAACAGAGGCTGAGCAAGACGCACGGGCAGACCAGCGTGGCCACGCACGGCCGTGCAACATACAATTCTGGCCGTGCGAGTTGGCTGAGGTTCAACTAATTGATACGCCGCGTTTTGAGGTGCACGGCCAGAATGGTGATGTGCACGGCCGTGCACCCTGGCCGCGCGAGTCGGGATTTCCTGGTTTTAAGCCAAATTCCGAACCAAAGAAGAGGGGGAGCTGGGTTTTGGATCCCAAACACCCAAGGGACGAACCCTAGAGAGAGAGAGCGATTTGAGGGCATTCTTGGAGTAGAGAAGGAGGATTTCTTCGCCTTGGAAGCTCGAGGAACAAGCCCGGACTTGAAGACTGATCATCTGAAGATTCTTACTGCAGTCTCTCTCTTCTCCATGGAGTAACTTCCCTTCACTTAGGTTTTGAGGAACCCTAGCTATGTTTGTTTGATTGGATGATTGTATGAGTACTCTGACTGGATAATCTTGAGTTCATATTCAATCTATGCATGTTTTCATGATTCAATTCTGCTTTAGTCGAGATTATTGATTCTGCTTTGATTCTATGAGAGGGAATACCTGATTAGGTCAATAGAGCACCATAGATTGATAGTAGTGGATCGATTGCTTTAGTCGAGGGTTGATTCACTGCTTTGTATCGATTGAGAACCTCTTTCGATAGAGGGAGTCTAGTTCAGAACGCCTTGATCAGTTGTTCTAGAGAAGGATACGTCCCTCTAGGCAATTGACTCAAGAGGGCCTTGTTCCTTTAGTCGAGACTCAAGGTCTAGTCAAGGATTCTCCGCATTGTGAATGAAAGTGAAACATGTTAGAGATCATCAATCGTTAATCTGGCTAGTGGCTAGGGGGAATCATATCTGAGTGAGTTCCCAACCTGTAATTAGATTAACTTTAACTGTAGTTTGCTAGAGTAGTTTTAGTTCTTTCATCTTAATCTGATTTGCTAAATAATAAACTGAAGCTGAGTAATAGTAACTCTAGAGACCCGTGGATTCGATATTTATCACTTGAGCCACTATACTGCAGTCCCTTTCATTGGTTACACTTGGCCTTTGTTAGGTGTTGTGTTTTAGCGAGTCAAGTTTTTGGCGCCGTTGCCGGGGACTTTCTAGAGTATTAGGAAAGGCAGAAGTTTGTTACTTTAGCGTTTTTCGTTTCTTTTCTTTTCCACCCTTGCTTTTCACTTGGGTGTTTTTGTTTTTGTTGGTGCAGATCTGAATCATGGATCCTAATGGCTTCTCCAATCATTGGGGGTATCCACCACCATCTGGGTGGTATTACCCCGAGACTCCGTGGAGCAATCAAGGCGGAGAAGACTATGGATTCGGGTTCCAGTACCAACCCCCTTACTACGGAGAACAACCGGACCCCTGGGCATATCAAGAACAACCTCATTATCAAGAAGAATTTCTCCCACAACCAGAAGGGCCATCGGCGCTGGAGTTACTCATGGAGCAGTTTGCTCGAGACTGTGAGAGAACATGCTCCAGGATGGATCAGTGTGTCCAGGCCTATCGTGAAACAGATGAGATCCTCCTGAGCCTTAAGAAGAGCGTCGATGATCTTGAGCGATCTTGGGCGCAACCTGCTCCAAATCACCGTTCTGCTACCATACAAGAAGAGGAGGAGGAAGAAGAAGGATACAAGGGCATTGTGGAACACACTGAAGTTGTCACGGAGAGCTCCCGTGATGATCATGATCAGGCGTGTCATGTCGTAGCCGACCACACCTTCCCACACCCCAAACTGAGCTTTGAAGAGGCGGGCATGAGTGAGGAGATGCAAGAAGATCTCATGAAAGAAATTGCTTGGCAACTTGCTCTCCAATCCGTGCTAGAAGAAGAAGAGCAAGAAAGGGTGCAGAAAGAAGTTGTGGAGGATGACAAAAGTGAAGCAGAAGGAGTTCTTGATCTTTTCTCAGGGGTGATACCACATGAAGAAGAAAGGGGGGTTGAAAAAGCAATTGGCGTCCAGGCTGAGGACGAAGTTGAGGTGGAAGAGGCTTGCACCGGCCATGAGTTACATGTGATATCTCCACCAAACTTCGAGGAACTGCTTAGCAAGGACCCATTTGCAGTGTCTCTTTGCCAGACCAAGGCCACATCAACATCGGTCCCTCTTGGTGGACGCGATGGTGGCCAATCGATGCTGTCATATCTGGTTTGGGGCAATGAGACGAGAGAAGAGAAGAAGAGGTCTCGAGGGTGGAGACTTCATCTGCATCAAGTACATGAGCCTTCATCACCTGCCACACCACATGCTCGTGACTTGAGACTCCACCTCATCGACGAGAACCTCAACTTCAAGGAGGTTCTAGCATGGACCGAAACTTAGGAGCCATCGTCCAGCTAATACGACGGTAAAGAAGCGCTTGTGGGGAGGCAACCCCACCACGGTTTGATTTTATTTCTTGTGTTTTGAGTCGGATTGTAACCCGGTTTGGGTTTGGTTTGTTTTCTTTTAGTTTGGATGATATTTTATTGGGCTGACCATTGAACCTAACATACTGTGTTTGAGCTCTTCTGTTCCCCTTTGGCTGTGCTTGCCCCGACTGGCCCATTTCCAGTCCCCTGCAGTCCGTGCATACCGGTAACATCGTTCCCCTTATCCTTCCCTCTTCTCCATTGAGGGCAATGTCGAGCTTAAGTGTGGGGGGATGTTTATCTTTCGACTGCATTAGATCTGTTTGTGTGCTTGGAGCCTAGTCCACTGTCCAAATTTTTAAAATTTGAGGGCTCCAAGTACGTGTTTCCGTGCAATTGCCTGCTCAGTATGCTTTGAATTGACAGTCTTTATAGTAATATGCAACCTAGGGAGGTAGTGTAGCACTATGGAGGATGTTGATGCATTTAAGAAGTCTCGTTTCTTCTTCATATTGTGTTGGTTGATTGAGTGAATTAGTGATCTTAGGACCCTTGAATTGTGTGGTGTTGTGGATTCTCTACCTGTCATGGACTCTTGTATCATGTTTTGAAAGTAACAGGTGCTCGAAAATGTGCTTCAAAATAAACGTCTCCCGTGCGAATAGGGCGAAAGTGTGTAAGGGGAGACGGGAATCCGTTCCCAATTTCCACCTACTACCTCCAGCCCCCTTACATGTCTTTCCCCCGCACGAGGCTCGAGACATCCGCCCCTGGCATGGCCGGTAAGAGCAGGTTGGGACCCTTGAAAAAGAAAAGAAAAGAAAAATATCAGAAAACAAGCAAAACAAAAAAAAGGGGTCTCAACCATCTTCAAGAAGCAGAAAATAGAGCACCTTGAAAAATGTGAGTCCATGATCTGTTGTTTTTGAGAATCTCCTCATCCACAATTCATTTGTCCTCTGTTCACTATTTGCCATGATGCCGACTCGCCGAAGAAGTTATGAGATGACTTGTGCGTCGGTTGACCTCGTAAGCTGCTAAATGATCTAGGAAGTCCTCTACCTACGATCTGGGTTGTTTGTTGCTATAGAGGTCTGGAGAGTTGCATTGGTTTGAGTTAGGTTTGCTTGGGGACAAGCAAACAGTTAAGTGTGGGGGGATTTGATGACTCGGTATTTGCACATGTTTTCCCCTTTGTTTCTTGATTGTTTGAGCTTGAATTATTGCATCTTTGGCCTATTTTATGCTAGGTTGTGTTCCTTTGTCCCATTTCAGGTCCTAGCACATAAAGTGAAGCATAGGCGCAAGTTTCAAGTCAATCAGAGATCAATTGACGATTCGAGAGAAGAAACTCGGGCATGACCTGAAGAAGAATGGATTTCTACCTCACTTTATGGACAAAGAAGCGTGCAAGCTTGTTATGAAACGAAAGAGGACGAGACTACGAGCGTCTGGGATCAAACGGCGACTGATTCGGAGTCCGGACGAGGGAGAAACGAAGCATTAAACAGAGGCTGAGCAAGACGCACGGGCAGACCAGCGTGGCCACGCACGGCCGTGCAACATACAATTCTGGCCGTGCGAGTTGGCTGAGGTTCAACTAATTGATACGCCGCGTTTTGAGGTGCACGGCCAGAATGGTGATGTGCACGGCCGTGCACCCTGGCCGCGCGAGTCGGGATTTCCTGGTTTTAAGCCAAATTCCGAACCAAAAAAGAGGGGGAGCTGGGTTTTGGATCCCAAACACCCAAGGGACGAACCCTAGAGAGAGAGAGCGATTTGAGGGCATTCTTGGAGTAGAGAAGGAGGATTTCTTCGCCTTGGAAGCTCGAGGAACAAGCCCAGACTTGAAGACTGATCATCTGAAGATTCTTACTGCAGTCTCTCTCTTCTCCATGGAGTAACTTCCCTTCACTTAGGTTTTGAGGAACCCTAGCTATGTTTGTTTGATTGGATGATTGTATGAGTACTCTGACTGGATAATCTTGAGTTCATATTCAATCTATGCATGTTTTCATGATTCAATTCTGCTTTAGTCGAGATTATTGATTCTGCTTTGATTCTATGAGAGGGAATACCTGATTAGGTCAATAGAGCACCATAGATTGATAGTAGTGGATCGATTGCTTTAGTCGAGGGTTGATTCACTGCTTTGTATCGATTGAGAACCTCTTTCGATAGAGGGAGTCTAGTTCAGAACGCCTTGATCAGTTGTTCTAGAGAAGGATACGTCCCTCTAGGCAATTGACTCAAGAGGGCCTTGTTCCTTTAGTCGAGACTCAAGGTCTAGTCAAGGATTCTCCGCATTGTGAATGAAAGTGAAACATGTTAGAGATCATCAATCGTTAATCTGGCTAGTGGCTAGGGGGAATCATATCTGAGTGAGTTCCCAACCTGTAATTAGATTAACTTTAACTGTAGTTTGCTAGAGTAGTTTTAGTTCTTTCATCTTAATCTGATTTGCTAAATAATAAACTGAAGCTGAGTAATAGTAACTCTAGAGACCCGTGGATTCGATATTTATCACTTGAGCCACTATACTGCAGTCCCTTTCATTGGTTACACTTGGCCTTTGTTAGGTGTTGTGTTTTAGCGAGTCAAAATCCGAGCTTGTAACTCATGCTCAGCACTGTGTGAAGATAGTTCAGACTCAATTTGGTACGACTTTCAAGGCAATTCTTTCGGATCCTGGTGGTGAGTTCAGCTCGACCCATTTGCTTGCATTTTATAAGTCCCATGGCATCTTAACCCAGCATTCCAGTCCTGGGGTTTCGCAACATAATGGCATTTTCAAGCGCAAGCATCTTCATGTTTTGAAATTGATCTGGGCTTTGCTATTTCATTCTCGCATCCCATTTACCTTCTGGGTAGAGCCGGTGAGCACAATTATTTAACTGATTAATTGGCAGTTTACTCATGTTCTCGGTCATCATTCCCCCTTCCAATAGCTGGTTTTGAAGGATCCTAATTGCTCTCAGCTTCGCATTTTCGGCTGTCTCTGCTTTATTCTTTTCCTAAGAAGGCACGTGATAAGTTTTCTCCCAAAATTGTCTAGTGTGTCTTCGTCGGCTATAATAGTCAGCACAAAGGCTATTTTTTCTATGATCATGCAGCCAGCGGTTACATATTTCATGTCACATGGGTTTTCTTGAACATGTTATGTATTATCTGATGGTCGCTCTGTCGGATAAATCTGATTTGGATTTTCTGTGTTCTCTACCGACTTTTGAATCTTCTTCTCCTCCTCCTTTTCTTCGTCTTCCTCTTCCATTGCGGATGACTCGAGTCTTGATAATTCACCAGGTCATGGCAATAATTCTCCGGCCAATTTCAGATACTACGGAGTATATTGGCAATGATAGCTATGAAGTAGTGGAAGATTGTACAGGTTGAGGTGAAGAATGTTTTTCTTCAGGGGGATCTAAAAGAAACTATATACATGGAGTGTCCAGAGGGTTATACAAAAGGAGGACCGAGAATGGTATGCAGATTATGGCGTTCCCTATTTGGCTTGAAACAGGTGCCATGAGCTTGGTTTGAGAAGTTCCATGGTACTATTCTGCAAGCAGGTTTCGTACAGAGTCAGAATGATCCTTCAATGTTTACCAGGCAGACTGCTCATGGGAACATGGTTGTTCTCTTGTATGTTGATGATATGATCGTGACTAGCAGCGACATAGAGGGAATTAAGGAATTAACACAGTCATTGCGTGCTTTTAACCTTAAGGAACTAGGTGAAGCATCTTATTTTTTGGGTCTTGATATACATAGGAATAAGGCTGGACTATTAGTCAATCAACGAAAAATACATTAATGATCTGTGGGAGGCAACATAATTTGCAGACTGCAAACCATGTTCAACTACGATGGAACAAAATTTTAAACTCGGTCGCAGTGATGGTATATTGTTAGAAGATCAAACTTTTTACAGGAGTATAGTAGGGAGCTTGATTTATCTAACTCATACCAGGCCTGATATTGCATATGCAGTTCAGGTAGTTAGTCAGTTCATGGGAGTTGCTTGTACTGCGCATTTGGATGCTGCTCACAAATTGTTGTGGTATTTAAAGGGTACTAGAGATGTTGGCATATTCTTTCATGCATATGAAGATAAGGTTATTGAAGCCTTTGCAGACGCTTATGTTGGTTGTCTGGATATCAGGAGGTCTACATCAGGATGGTTCATTAAGAATGGACAATCTTTTGTTTCGTGGAGATGTAGGAAGCAAGACAAAGTGTCAAAGTCCTCGACAGAAGCAGAGAGGTTGTTTGAAGAACTTGGAGTAGAATGTCAGATACCCATGAGGATCTACGGAGACAATACTAGTGCCATTCATATTGCAGTAAATCCAGTACTACAGGACAGGACAAAGCACATAGAAGTGCACGTTCATGATATCAGGCAACTTGTTGCAGAAGGAGTAGTACAACTTAGTTATTTGTCGATAGATAATCAGAGTGCAGATGTCTTAACAAAAGCAGTCAATTCTAGTAGACATTGGTACCTATCTTCCAAAATAATGTTGCGCACACGTCAGCACGACCTTCCCTATGGTCATCGACTAGACGCCAATTACTGGGAACTTCAAAATTAGACCCAGATCCGCTTTTGGGTAAGGGATCGACCTTTCTGAGTGGCAAATTCAACCTATGGTCCTCCACCCGATCAATTATATAGACAATTTCCCCTTTTTTATATTCTTCTCCCACTCTTAGCCGCCAATGTCGTTTGCGGTGCGAGGATGGGCTCGCTTCTCTCTAGATGAGATGGTCGAAAGTAGAGAGGAAGAAAGGGATATATAGATGGGTAGGTGCGAGAGGAATGAATGTCCAGATTTTTGAGGAGGCGAAGACACAAAAGATTAAAAGTTTTTATTTCTATTTCTACGTATTAATTAATTATTTATTTAATATTAAGTGGCATGGCAAAAATCCACATCATATGCCACATCGTCAGTTAAAACTTTGACTACTACGGTCAACGGAGACTAACCATTGGGACATAATTGGCACGAGGCAAAATTAGGGATACAAGAGATAGAAAGCCTAAACTATAGGCCCTTTTTTGGTATTATGCCTAAAATAAAATAAAAAAGATCGGGTAGAAAAAATCGACCAATATGGTTAACCGCCCGAATCCGGTCTGCCGATCTAGTTAATTAGGATAAAATCCGAACATATGTAATTATTTAGTGGAATGGATAGCAATTATTCCTGCTATCCCACCTTAACTCGCCCAATTATAGATCCTTATGTATATTTTTCTATAAAACGTCATCATATTTGAAATAACCTGATTCTTTTGATAACCCAAACCATAATCCAACCCAAAAACCGGTTACTCCGGAGCAACCCAAACCATGTTTTAGAGTCAAACTAAAAATCAACCAACGACAATAACCAGAAATATCAAATCAAAACCCTAAACAGTTGGGAACACCTCAACCGAAAACACTTAACATAAACCTTGAGTTTCCCAGTATACTCTTAAGGCAAGAAATAAAGACAAATATGATAAAAGGGTCCCTTCTCGTTACCGTAAGCCTTCTGACATCTTCAAGTTTGACGCGAATGACCTCCTGGGTTAACCTCTTCGTGTTGGTTACGTCCTCTTCCCCTTTCCACACCTAGTGAGTGAGAAGGGGTCAGTCTAGTCCTTACTTCCTAAGGTCTTTGCCTAAACAAATCATTATTAACACATTATTAGAAATTACTTCCTCTTACATGAAAGTCGTTCTCGCTTTCATCATTAATAATTTAATCCTTAATATCTTATAGAAGTTCTCTACTTCTATCTTAACTTATATACTTATTACTAGGGTCCACCGCATTACGTATCGTCATCCGGTGTCTCTATCCTCAAGGAAATGGTACTGCGTTACGTATCACCGTCTAGTCCACACTTGGTTAACTACTGCGTTACGTATTGTCGTCCAGTAGTGACCCGACCATCTACCGCATCCAATAGTGGCCCAACCGACCTGGGGTTCCATTTCCATGATATGTAGTATTCACGTTGTCACTAATTAGGATGATGGAGGCATAGGATTATGGAGCAAAAACGAGTTCTAGAGAGAGAAAGTGACGAAGAACAAACATTAGGAGCTATTTGGAGTGGATTTCTCACCATTGAAGCCCAGATTGTGTCCCCAGGAATGAAGATTGACATCCGAGAGCAGATTATTCCCATATTTATGAGTATGAATGCTTTGATTTATGTTTTCCTCTCTCTCTCTCTCTCTATGGAGTAGACCTTTCTCTCACTTGGGTATGAAGAACCCTAGTTCCATGTGTTAGGAATCTT